GGGGACTATGTTCGACCGGGCAACCAAGGTTAACAGTATGAACTAAGACACCCCTGATTCAACCATCAATTATCATCTCGTAAACCTGTGCACGACAAGCAAACTTGGATCTTGGAGTTCTCCGTGACATTTAGGAGGGGGTCACGAAACACGCAGGTTGTGCGTACTCGTGGTTTAGATGATCAGTAGGTGTGGTGAGCCGCCTAATTTTGCAATTTTTTTCACTTGTAGCTACGACGGTGTGGATTGTGTCCGAATAAAATCCCATCTGTACTGTATCCTCAACGGATGCGCACTTCAAGGCAACATTGATTGGACACCATGGTCCGACAGCACCCAAATTACAAGCGTCATTCAACGCAGGAGCCAAGGGAATTAAACTGTCAAGCGTTGATTTTGTGCAGTGGATTCGCCATGACCCACTTCAACCAGGAACAAATTGTTCCAGCGAAAATCAATAATGTATAATTGGGAAGTGTCTATGTGGAGGGGGTGGGATTATTTGATTTGATTTAAGTACCATTTCAAAATATGAGTTTTGACTATAATCACCATTTACCCATTCCCGTAAAAATGAGGGAAACAAAAATCGGAAATGACGATATCCAAGAGAGCTGCAGTAGCTCTTGTAGGAGCGGATAGCTTCACAGATGAATATGGTAAGTTAATTTCGCATTGAGTCGGTGCGAAGCGGTAATGTGTTGGCTTAGGCTGGATATTAGAAGGTACGCAAGGCACGTGGAGTACTGCTTTTAAGCCTAGGCTGCAAACAAGTATTTAACTTTTTCAGGTACAAAAATGTGTTAAAACAATGCCTCACCAGACGCTGAATTGTGGCGTTGGAGTTGATTCCTCACTTTATCACTCAAATCACTTTTCTTTTTGGTGCTATCAACGAAAGCAGGGGAGGAAGCTTCTAACTGGCCACCGGTAGCAAAGGCTTGATGGCCTGGAGTGTGCTTTGGTAAAAAGGTAAATGACAAGGAGTTATCTCGAGGAGGAAGTGCGGCGGGTGTGGCCAGAGGATGCGCAGGTAAAAAGCGCGGGCCCCCATCCTCAACTTTGGCACCGCGACGCCGCATGGACAGTGAAGAGTAGGCTTGGCGACGCACCAACGATGGAATGACCTCTTCTGAAGGACTAGGCGGTGAGGTGTCGGCTGCGCCAAAAAAGGAATTATCAGGTTGCTGAGGAGCATCATCGACACGAGTTGTGCCTTCCTAAATAAACACAAAAAATAGCCAATTGGACAACAAAGTGGCACTTCAGGCTGTGCGAAGCAACAGAAGCGTGATATGCAGCCGAGGGTAGCTAATCTCGGTTCGGTTTACACTAAGGCCACGAAAACTCCAGACGGATGAAGTCCAACCAATTAACCCTAATTCCGTGCGACATATTTGAGCAAAATTGTTACTTTGTAAACATGGTATTCAAAGCAAAATATTTCGCATTTAATCTAAACCGTATCCGAGGCTTGCGATGAATACTACCTTAGTCAGGGCTGCTTAAGGGACTCTCCCCTTCACGAAAGGGTTCAGCAACGGATTCATTCCGAACTGCCTATTTGAGCACTCGGAAAATTAAACTGATAAGGAAGTCACAGATTCAAGTGGATCCCTGCCCCTACCCCAGCCAGTCTAAATGTGGTCGTGCGTGCTGCGCATGTTGGAAGCGAAGCACAGCCACCCCAATCACATTCCCCCTGAGTTTGTGCTGCTCGTTCACTAAACTGCTGGACCATTTGCAGTTCACGAGGACTGCGCTTCTCTTCACTTGGCAACATGCGCTTTTCGGCATCGAGGCGTCTTCCGACAGCAGAAAACCAAGGCTTTACTACATTAATTGGTAGTGCTTTCAAGACCTCTCTCCTTTCCACGTGATTTCGTGTGCCTCAATCGCCACTGAGTCCCAGCCTCTTCAATGAAGGCTTCACGCGTTTGTGGCCACCCGTGGTTTTCTTCGACGAAACACAGACATCTCCGATTTCGAGACTGGTGGATACGCCTTTGGCCTTTTTAATGAGCAATTTGAGGGTATTGGTGGCTCAGGACACTTTGAAGTGATCTAGAAGTGAGCGTAGTGAGCACTGTACTCGGGTGAAAAATCGACCAACCAACCTCCGACAGTTTCAGTGCTTGGCTTCGTATTATTATGCACCGCTAAAATTCACAGGCGAAGCTTTTGCTCAAATAGCAAAGGAGAGGTACTTAAATATTTCAGTAACACATACAGAAACACCGTGTTGGAGGCGCGGCTGCCTGAAGCTGAAGAAGTTGGGTTTGGTGAATTTGACGGGATCCGAAGACTGTTCCCTGACACAAACAGCGTCATTTGGCAAGAGGATCGCCTGACGACGAAGTTCACGGGAACCCGTCAAGCCGGCTCTCGGGGAAGTGCCGGAAACCGCAGGTCGAGTCCGAAACTGCGGGCGTGGAGGCGCAGTCTTCCCATCTCTGGCTAAATTAGAAAATAACCTTATTTAAAATGGCTACTTTTTTTAGAAAACATGATGTTTGTAAGTGCTGGTAATCCAAATTTGGGCGTCTATGCGAATTAGTGTCACCCAAAATGAGCTTATTGGCTGTTGGTTAAATCTTCAGTCATTGGCAATTTTATTTCTAATGAACAGCAAAATTAGACTAGCCAGGTTGGAAATATTTGGTGAATGAATTAATTTTTATAGATTTTTTTCTACGACCTTAAAGTTATTTTAAGAATATAAATATTTCCACAGTTTATTGTGATTTTGAAAGGTTTCAGAACACGGAGCGACAAGTCCACATGAATTACATAACCTCTCAAAAGTAGAGCTTACGACGGAAAATCACAAAACAGCATATTAGGCAGGAGAATCAGGTCGTAATGTTCCTATTGCCGACGTTTTGTCTCATAAAAAGTGTGATTATTGGTACAACCATATTGGAATTGGTGATTTCGACCCTAGTGACCAGCCGTGCCTCTGACCGCAGCCCTGGAAGTTTGAAGATGCGCAATTGCAAGCTCTACTGGATGAAGACTCGATGCAAACGCAACATTAGGTTGCGGCTCAGTTTTGAACCACAAAAGGGGAAAGTTCAAAAACTTGGAAGTTGGATCCCACATGTGTTGACTGAACACAACCTCGGTCAACGTATGAACATGTGCCTTTCACTGCTTGCCCACTGGCAACAAAAAAAAGAACTTCTTGAGGAAAGTTGTCGTGGGTGATAAAAAGCATATTTTTACGAGAATTCAAAATGCAAAAAGTGGTCGGTAGATCATGGACAGCCCAGTATATCGATGCTAAAACAGGACATTCACTTGAAGGGGGTTCTCTAGTACACTACCTGAGAGAAAAAAGGACAATATATCCAAGATTTAGTTGGTTGTTCTCAATTTTTTTACACAGAATAAATTTGCTGAAACATCTGTAAAAATCAAGCCATACATCCGATATAACCTACAGGAGTCACTTGAAGTTTCAAAAACCGAGAAATCGCTAAAACGCGATCCGGAACGAAAGAGTTAACAAATTGTTAGAATTTCAAGTGACAGGCTGAGCCCAATGATAACCTTCTTTGCGTATTTCCACCACATAGCTTTTCAGCCAGTAAGAGTCGGTGATTTTGGTTTTTTTCATGATCGGTGTGCAACGCCTGAACTTATTCCGTATCGCGGATGCAGTCTATTTGAAATCATGGCCAGTTCCAAATACCAAAAATTACTAATGTAGCACAGCCTGCTTGTCCAGCAAAAATGAAAACGCGAAATCCAAAAAAATCACGACTCAAAACGCAGCTATATTTCTACTTACGTAGAAAGGGATACGTGAGATTCTACCAACTGGGAAATCGCGCTCAAAAAATAAGTGCCATAGAGAAACCGTTGTTACCACCAATGCAAAATGATAAACAAAAGTTTCTAACTCAAACCACTTTGGATGAAGAGTTAAGTGAAAGCTAAGACAAGCGATTTCATTAAATAGTTGGTTGGTAAGTGACCCCAATGCCGTTGTGCTAAGTGATTAACGCGAAGGCAACACTGATATTGATAAGATTTATTCCCATTTCCAGTCATTCTACGCATTCCATTTGGTCCACATGAAATTAAAATTGGTATCTCGAGCAATCAGGTTTAACTGAGGTGAAAATGAAAAAAAAATTTCGCTGCGAGATTGTTGAAGATACCAATTACAGGAGCTTAGATGTACAGAGCGTAAATTTCAAAGTAATACTTTACCCCTTTTAAATAATACCGCTAAAATAATGAAATCATGATTACTACCCAGTGACAAGCACGACTGTTGTTAATGTTACTTTGATTGGATGGAATAAACGTGGCCTCTGAAAGAGGAATTATCACCACCATGGTTACTTCAGTTAATGCAAGACTTCTGGTGGTACGCTAGATGGACGACGAAAAAAGTTCTTTGCGAAGTTCACAAGAACCGTAGTTTTAAATAACGCATATGGACCTTAGGTCAAACTCCCAAGATTGAGGATACAATACGTAACATACTCTCCAAATGTAAAATCTATACATGTTATTTTTTGTGAAACCGCAACTGCGAGAACAATTCGAACACATTGAATGTTACATTGGGAAATGCTACTGTGGCAAGACCGAAAGCATGGGCTTCCGAAAAAAGCCGAACGATCGCTTTGCTGATTTAAGTGAACGGTCTCTATCATCGACAATCAGGCAATTTGATAAATTGAAGATGGATGAACCTACCGGTAGATGTCTCAGTGAATTGCAAAGGGGACGGGGAATAATGCACGGGCAGAAGAGACAGCAGTTGTGGGGAATCAGGCGTCGGTTCATTCTGCACAGCTGATGCACGTCCATTCTGAAGAATTACACAAAAATACCCATCAATCAACACCACACCGTTGCCATACAGAACGAAGTCGGCACAAGTCGCCACAATAACAACCGCTTGTTAAGACTAGAGAAACTCCAACTTTACCACCAGTCTTGTAGTAAATCTTGCTGATTCACTTCCATTAACCCAATCGTGGCATTCTCCGCCACTCTGACCACCACTTCACAGCATCCATATCGACCTTGCGAAACCGTCTGCTCATGCACCCACGTGCGTGTGCCTCCCCCAAGCTGGCCGTTTCATCCATTACTCAGACGCGAATTTTTATGCGCGGTGGCGCGACAGACAACTAGATTGACCAGTCTAGTTAAACGACCGTCTCTGTCGTCTGTGGTCGTCTTTTTGTCTTTCGAATGGCTGTGTAGTTTCATAGGAAGGAAACTGCCATAGAAGTACACCTTGAGAGTCAAATCACGCTGCTCAAGGCAACAAGACAAAAGTCAGGACAAGGACATCTGAACCGAGGTTTGAGGCGAAAAGAAGGAAATTATAGGCGAGAAGGCAAAAGCAGTCTAACGGTTCACGCGGTGTCGACTATCACAGGGGGGGGGGTATGGAGTAACACAATTGTGAGAAAAGAATCGTTCAGCATAGGTGGTGCGAACCACGCCGTTTCGTCGCATCAGGTGATGGTAAAATGACAGTTTAATGGCGTCAAAGGCACTTGTAGTGTCACCGATAGCTACAGGAACAAGTAGGACTAGGGTAATCGAAGAAATGGATTATACCTGAAAAATATGATTCGACAGGCTTCGATGCATAAGCTTCCGCAGATCAGTTGCGACAAAAAATCCACTTGGTTGTGAGCTTAAAGTTAGCTTTTCGAGCTGATAAACATTTCAGCATTACTTTGTCACACAGTCGTCTTTCCCAATGATTACAACAGTCCAATCATACAACGATACGATGGCAAAAAATTAAAACCATTGAAACCAACGGGCAATTAAGAACATTTAAGCACTCAACGATGTTTTGAACTTTAACTAGGTCTTCAGATTGGTAACTTCTAACCCCCGAGTTTTTTTACCGCGACGAACATGTTTACAGTCGACGTAGTGACACATTTTAGAACGACACTGCAAGTTTCCTTGGAGTACTTGATAATATACCTTATCACTAACTCAAATGCCAAATAAAAACTCCACATTGTACGAACTTTGGCCACACGGAGTGCACGAGCATGAAGCGGACTTTGTTCCCTGACTGTCAACAATTGTTAAAACAAGACAGTATTTTTATTTGGGTCTAGCAGATCTAGTGGGTTGTACAAACAAGAGCTTACAAGCGAAAATAGGAACCAAGAAGAGGCGGAAATGCAAAAGCCTGTTTTTTTCTGAATCAAATGTCGTAGAACTTTCTAAAAAAATGTCAACAGTCACCACACACACACACACACACACACACACCTTAGAGAGAATTTCACACAACTTGAAACGAGGTTGTGACGGTTCCGGATGGAGAGAAATTTTAACGTCGAAGGTACAAACAGAAACGTGTTGGCAACTGAATCCGAGCAAGGAGATCAAGCCATTTGGTGACAATTTTCCACGTGTGAGTAGAGGGCGAAGATTCGAAATAAATTTTTAGCGAACGGAGGCTAAATCTCGTCAGCGGCTAAATTTTCTTCCAAATCAATGAAGCCATTTACATTTTTAAAAAAGGGACCAATATCTGACTAAGTGTATAAATTATACAAAAAAAAATGTGTAGGAATGCCAACGACCAAAGCGTTAGTGAATGAATCGTGCAGCAATAAAAGTTCAATTAGTTGAGAGCATTTCCACCAGTGCAGATAGGCGGAGGCAAAAGAGCACAAATTTACGTAAAATAAAAAGGCAATATGCACTCAAATAAAGTTACACTGTGCATAACACCCCACGTCTGAATCAATGTTCCAAAATGCCAGCCATGATCTTCTTTTTTTCATTTCACACACGCCCAACCCACCCAACCCAGGTACTAGTTGACTCCGTCAATGAACCGGTTGCATTTTGTGCTTGGACGTAGAATGGCCTACTCACAAATGGGCTGGACCATTCAAGTGAATGTGCTAATCATAAACCCCCAACACTACGCTCCTTATGCTAAGAAATTTCTGTTTTTCCGATACGAATAGTTAACTTTGATAGAAGAATAGGAGAAAAAGAAAATAAATTGGTATAAAATACCGTCATATCAGAATACGTACAAAAAGATTACAAGTAAATTCGCCTGCTTCAAGAATTCCAAGAAATTAAACGATAATGAAGCAGTTGAAGCTTGGCAAGTACTTTGCTTAAAAACTAGAATCTTTCACTTGATTTCGATTCGGGATATTAGTGAAACAGTATGAATGACGAAACGTTAAAAGTGGTTTCAAACGAGTGCATGGAGTAAACGCATGACATACGTTGCCAGAGGTTGGAGTGGTACTGTCCTGCGAAGCAGACTTGTCGGGAGCAGTAGAAGGTGTGGCGTCGAATTTAGTCGGAACCGATGTAAGTAAACCATCCCTGGTGTTCCTATCCTCTGGTTCTCGCGGTTCCACGACAGATATCTCCGTAATTAGACCACTAAAAATTCAGGCGCATTATTATACCATAACCGATCAAAAGAAAGCACATACAATTTATGGTTGGGTAGTGCATAAATTGCATAAAAGACACAATACACTGGAAAATCCAAAAGTGGTGCAAATCTAGCACTGGATGACAATATCTTGGGGACTATGTTCGACCAAACAACCAAGTTGGACAGCCTGAACTAAAACACCTCCGATTCAACAAATAATTGTCGTCTCGCAAACCTGTGCACGACGAGCAAACTTGGATCCTAGCGTTCTTCGTGACATTAAGGGGAGCGGAATGAAGTCAATGGTACAAAAGTGAATTCACTTTAAGCAGCAGGTATTCGTGTCAAAAGGCCACGATTGGGGCTGTGTTGGGGCCACCATTGGCACCATCCCATCCCAATCAAAAGACCACGATTGGGGCCACCATTGGCAAAACACATTATGTCATCCAGTGCATAATAACACAAAGCTAACCACTGAAAATGTCGGAGGATGGTTGGTCGATTTTTCACCCAAATACAGTGGTCACTACGCTCACTTCTCGATCACTTCAAAGTGTCCTGAGCCACCAATACCCTCAAATTGCTCATTCAAAGGCCAAACGCGTATCCACCAGTTTCGAAATCGAAGATATCTGTGGTTCATCGACGAAAACCACTGGGTTGCCACAAACGCGTGAAGCCTTCAATGAGGAGGCTGGGACTCAGTAGCGATTGAAGCACACGAAATCGCGTGAAAGGAGAGAGGTCTTGAAAGCAGTACCAATTAATCTAGTAAACTCTTTGTTTTTAAGCTGACGGAAGACGCCTCAATGCCGAGAAGCGCATGTTGCCAAGTGAAGAGAAGCGCAGTCCTCGTGAACTGCAAATGGCCCAGCACTTTAGTGCACGAGCAGCACAAACTCAGGGGGAATGTGATTGGGGTGGCTGTGCTTCGCTTCCAACATGCGCAGCACGCACGACCACATTTAGACTGGCTGGGGTAGGGGCAGGGATCCACTTGAATCTGTGACTTCCTTATCAGTTTAATTTTCCGAGTGCTCAAATAGGCAGTTCGGAATGAATCCGTTGCTGAACCCTTTCGTGAAGGGGAGAGTCCCTTAAGCAGCCCTGACTAAGGTAGTATTCATCGCAAGCCTCGGATACGGTTTAGACTAAATGCGCAATATTCTGCCTTGAATACTCTGTTTGAAAATTAAAAATTTTGCTCAAATATGTCGCACAGAATTACGGTTAATTGGTTGGACTTCGTCCGTCTGGAGTTTTCGTGGCCTCAGTAAACCGAACCGAGATTAGCTACCTTCGACTGCAAATCACGCTTCTGTTGCTTCGCACAGCCTGAAGTGCCACTTTGTTGTCTGCACACGGACGTAATTTTATGCAGCCCAGCCGATTGCTGGGTATCAATTGGCTATTTTTTGTGTTTATTTAGGAGGGCACAACTAGTGTCGATGATGCTCTTCAGTAACCTGATGATTAGCAAAATCAGACTACAAAATTAAGTTTTGAAATGAGTATATACGAATTGTCAATTAACAGACTTGGTCGATATGTTTGGAAGTTGTGCTGCTTATAACCGTGACATATTGATAAAAACGCATTGACAGTTCTCGAAACTTGACAACGTGGCCTCCACAAGCTGAGACACTGTCGAGTGAGGTTCCAGTGTTACATTTGTGGCCCCAAAATAACCACTTTGAATGCTCACGGAGGCCTCAGTGACGACACTGCTCAGGATGAGACGTGAGGGTGGCCTTTAAGGCGGTGGAGGCTACAATGATCTGACGAAGCCCAGATTGACTAAAGCAGACAGGCGTAATTGTGTGGCTTCAAACGAATAACGTGATTTCGTACCGCATCAAGTGTCCATGTGTTGACAGACGCCTTGATCACAGAAATCTCCCCATTTATTTACTGACCACTCACACTGGAACCGAACGATCAGAGGAGCTTGAGTCATTGGACGGAGCAGCCGGGTGAACTAATCAAATTTAACCCGAATATTATTTTTTACGGACTAAGGCAGCCTCGCTTTTAGATGCCCAAAAAGGTGGAAAATCAAATGACTTAGATAGACATGACTGCGCCCTCATGCAATTCACACCTTATTACGCCAATGCAAACCGAACAACAAAACACAAGCATTAGCCTACCTATCGTTGGATTTCCCATACTAATTCAGAAAATTAAAGGCTGAGTGGAAAATTATTATGAGAATGTTTCTATGGTGCAAACAATTGCCTCGGCTGGTGGTTGTAAAAGATGTGTTGATAAGTATACGAGACAGAAGTACTTGCAGACTACAAACTCGTGTAGTCAAAAAAGTCGAAGTTACCTGGTCCGCCTTATCATGTTGGAAACCTGAAGGAAAGTAAGGCCGTCTATGGGTTGTCTATTAACAGCCCTTAGGATGCTGCCGCACTTGAGGCCCGCACGCTCAGCAGTTCCACCCTGACGCACTTGCGAAATGACAATGACAGAGCCTAAAAGAATGGATAAAAATACAAAATCGACTACAACACACCAGTGGCGGAGCCCTCGAGACTCGATTTTGAACATGTCCAACATTTTGTCAAAACGACATTTAGCACATTTGACGTTTGAGCCTGTACATGAATAAATCGCCACTGGAACTCAATATTTTATCACAAAAGTCCACTAAAGAGGTCGGCAGAATTTACACTCCAACCAAGACTATTAGCTCATAAAATGAACCTTGTGAAACCGATTTGGAAATTGTATGTTTTCAATTCTAAGAGTACAAATCTGGCATAATTTGCATGGTACAAAGTGCAAATTACCCTTGTCGAGGGGCATAACTCTTGTGGGTCAGATAGATCGTGTAGAAGGTTCGAGCCCATCGATTTTTTGGAGTATTTTATACACAACGGACATTTCGATTACTACAATTGGGCTAATTTGTTTCAGCTTTTGGGAACCTAAAATAACTCACCAGAGTTCACAGGTTTCATACCATGGATAAAATTTTTCTTAACATGCTCTTTTCTAATATTCCAAATATTTGTAAAAGAGGAGGTATATAATGAATCCTGGAGGATTACGTAGTGTAAAGAGTACCTTGAGTTTTGACGGAAAACTCGAACCCGATTGGACCGCGAGGAACGAAGACGGTGGAGACTTCACTTCCCAATTCAGAAGTTGGCAATGCTCCTGTCGACATAGGGGCTGTGAAGCAAAAGCACCTCATAAAGTAGCTGTTGTTTGTATAGTAGTAAACTGGGAATAACTAACAAGATTGGTCGAAACAGTTAATAGGAACTTCAGCGAACAATAAAAACCGTTATTACGTTTAAATTGCGCCAGAAACTAAGATTGGAGTTCTGGAGACACAAAGCAACATTCTGGGAAATAAACGAACTTCTACGCTCGTTGTGTTTACCAGCTAGCACACCTTTTTCGACAGATGCTTTTTGATAACACTCAAAACGTCATCGTTGTACGATACCCTAGACCTGCATTTTATGACAGCATTACCAATGTTATAGCGATTCCAATAAAAAAGAAATTGCAAATCAGATTCCTAAGGAATGTACATAAAGCTACATACTACCAGATTGACCGCATGCATTATACACACCAATTTCGGATAGAAATTGTAACAAGGCATGATAAGTTTGCAAAATCATATGAGCGATCGCGCGATCAACAGAGGCAAAAGCATCGAATTGAACCTTCAAGCCACACCTGATAGTAGAACACGACTTTTTAGCAGGTAGGAATGCCCGTGACTGCCTCAGAACAGGATATGTCATTCTGTTAGCCTGCAAGCTGATAATTTGTGCGTACAGCAGTGGCGCACTCAGGAGTGCTAAATATTTAAACGGGCTAATTTATTGCAACGCATGCCCAAACACATGTGTTTTCAACAAGTTTGCAACTGTGCTTGCATTACGAAATCACGTGCCAAAAAAACTAACCTCTCACACTGCTAAAAGGAGTTGCGGTTACGAAATTGAATTATCTTTTCCGAAATACAGTGAAGCATGTAAACCCCAAAAGTCAACCATGTATTTTAGCATTGGCGAATTCAGATGAAAACGCCTTTTGAAAATAACCAACTGAAATAATGCACTTGGTTTCTTATGGCTTGTTGGCGTAAAAGGACTGTTTCGGCATGGAAGTTCTGATCAAACCGATTTCATCCGGAAAAAGAGATGCAATTACACGAATAATAAATACGTACAACTGATCCAGAAGGAAACTGTAGTGAATCGAGTTGATACACTTCTATCCGCTCCGTTGCCGCATTCCCCAACTCACTGCGGACGTTTCAAAGCTAGGCTGTCAGTCTGCTAGTTTACCCCCACGCATGTACCATTACTACTATCTTTATCCGTCCAAATGTTCGGACGTTTGTACTCTTGCTAGTTCACCCAGACTTTAATCAACAAAAATACACAAGTCATGCGCAACCTTGAACGCACTCACACGGCACAAAACCACTTCGTTGATGTGCCTCGTTCAATGCGGTCTTCATCTTCGTGGGTATCAAGGTAGCATAATTGGGCTAGATTTAAAGCAATGGCTCCGGTGTGGTTTGTGTCAACATGCCGGGGCCCCCAACTAAATATTGGATCCTGCCGTGAGTTATCTGCAAGTTTTGATTCAAATGCCTCACTTATTGCCTACATAAGAACACTACCACGCCAATCATCGCCGATAATTCGCATTGTATAAGTTATCTGAGTGGAAATCCTCCAGGGTGAAGTAAAGCGACTAGTGCTATCAGAGCCCGGTTATGCACTAAAATTCATTTCTTAAGGAAGAAAACTACAGAGTTACGAAAAGGCTGCCAAAATTACTTGAAGAATTGGGCTTGGTAAAAAACCAATAGTGAGGTTAGTGATTGAATGGCGCTACTTTACTTGCGCAAGTCATTCAAGTGCAGAACACAACACATGACTGTAGCTGCCGTAAGAACCTCGTTTTTATGACTCACACTATGGTGGTTAAAGGACTGCGAAGATGGCACGTTTTTGGATGCCGAGCGGTCTCCGCATAGCAAATGTTAGAACATGCCGATTAATATAATCGTTGCGATGATAGGTGGAACAAGGACTTACCAAATATTTCCGAGATATGCTTCAAATGGATAAGTGCTAACGAAATTAGTACTTAATGTAGATAATTAAATTAAATGGATTTCATACACCACAATAGAGTGATTGTCTTCTGAAGAGATTGGGATTTGAATCAAAGATTTTCCAATCACTTTTTACAATTGCAATAACCGGAATGGCCTAGCGATTGGAGCTATGGAATGTGCAATAACGGCGATTAAAGGAGCGCTTGGATTCAAAATGAAAATAGAGGTGTTGGCGCGTCCTGAGAATAATCGCTTCCACCGTAACCAATAGACACATTTAAGCTTTTCCGATTCAACAAGGATAATTAAAATCAAGTGAACACATGTTCAATAACAATGACTAATAAAGACGTTTCTGCAATAAGAATGAGGATCTGGCGCCAACAATCCACACCAACATAAAGTTAGAAGAATGTTGCATACACAGTGGGGAGTTGCAGAAAACTTGATTGCTCAAGCAACCACGCTGTTCAAACACTGTGACAATGACAGATTACAGCACCCTTCCCCACGAAACCGTTCAAGTTTCATGAAAGAAAATCACCCGAATAATCGCTACAGCACCAGTAATGATGCAAAAAGATGTATGGGTAGAGGAAAACTTTGCGGTGAACTCATTAGAATTACGAATTGAGCATATTAACACTCCAATCAAACCCAACAAACATTGTAGATTGTGTATTTAGTACAAAGAAACACCTAAAACATCAGTCAGATGCTCGTGCAGTTCATGAAAGTGAAGACAAAAATTCCATCAGTGCACCACTAAGGGTAATATACAAGTCAGATACCGTTAGATGCCTCAGAGGAAGACTGTCACATACCATGGAAAGGCGGTGAACACATCGAGTGGATAGGGCATTAAGCAAACTTAAAAGGGTTTTAAACATCCTTGGAGTGATTCTATACCAAATGCATACAATGCCGTGTGCCCAGCTTTTAAACTAAGAATGCACAGACACTAGCAATTATCAGACAGACTTATCTACAATCCCAACAAATAAACTTGAGCACAATGACAAGTTGAGGAGTACAAAAGCGGGGTTACTATACCTGACATGAAAAAGGACGTAACGTGTAGGCTAACTGAGCACAAAGTTGATCATGTAAACTTTTAAATTATAATAATAACCGTACATATATCACTGGCTCGCACACCGGAAATTTGTTTCAAGAGGCATACTTGATGGCCACTCCTAACAAAAATCAACATGTGCCCTTAGAGCGAAGTATCGGACATTCTAGGAGAACTCTAACTAAGATGATGAACAACAATTAGAGAATATATGTCCTAGAAAAACGGAAACTGATAGCGAGCCCGGCGGCGCGAATAATCAGTAGCGAATTTGCCCGTTAAACGCAACAACGGTGGTTCAGATGGCTATGCGTTTGGACTAGCGGTGCCATTTCGGCTAAATGTCCACGACTTACAACAAAGGAAGTATTCCTCAGGTTATTAGGAATAAAACAACTAGATGTACCACGACCAGTCGTAAAATTTATAAGCTTCCCATAGACCATTGAAAATGAAGGCCGAGGTAGTAAAATGAAAAAAAACAGATATGGCAACTACTTTATGGGTAACCGCGCACATTAAATGTAGCAAATGTTAAACTCTTCTAAATCAATCAAAAATCGACAGACATAACACCGTAAATGGTAAAATATTTTGATAAATGTTAATTGAATTTCACAAAGCTCACATATTAAATATAAATATCCAATCTGTCTCAGGTAAAATAGTTGTGAAAAATCCCGAATACCTGCTAATTAAAAGCGCAGAAACCTCTAGCTTTGAAACTGGGAATCGTAAAGAGATGTGAAGTGGAACAAAGGGTGCAGACATATTTGACCACACCGAACTCAGCCAATCCCCTGTCTCTGCGCCTTTGAATATGCAGCAAGGATGGTCTGCAGCCAACCAGCATGGACTCTGATGTAAGGTGTCTGAAGTTCGATTTGTTAAAATCTTTTTTGTTGTATCAGTATTGATCGAACTTTAGTTATTGTATTTCACAGTGATTAAACATAGCCGAGCACATACTTGTTTTAATTATACTATAAGTTGACCTAGTCTCCTAAATTAGTGCGTTTGAATGGTCTGTCTTAAAAAAGGCAGCAGAACCACTTGACATCAGTCACCGTGGCATTTCGAGTAAATATAATTGCTTGTGAATTTCACCATCTCAGGTTGTGTGATACTTTGGTCATAAAAAAATTCCTGAGATACATACATAATCATTGATGGGCACAGGTAGTGGAAAGTCTGTCACAAAGTATAGTGACCGCTTTCTACTATGTAATAAAATATAAATGCCAACTTAAAGGGCATATACAAGCAAAAAACTCACAAAATATTTATTAGGCCTTTGAAAAGTCTATTTCTTCGTTTCTTTAAAGTATTGCATCCTTTCGATGTGACTTATCGGTATTTTGATGTTCGGGAGATCTATTCACAATTGCTAGGGTAAGATTCTAAATTAAGCTTATAAACAGGGCATTTAGGCTAATAATCTCGACTAAAAATGTTCTTAGCATATGCATTAGTTGACCCCAAAGACGAAGTAATACTTTTGTTGGTTAAAAGGTCAGACATCGGTTCAATAACTTACCCTGCATTTGCTCAAAGATGCAAATGACTGCTAAAGCAAGTAAATTTGATTTTTATTGTATAAGGATACAAGTAAACTAGCACCACATTTTTCAGTTTAAAAAATGCTGAGGAAATGGTTTACCTTAAGGAAACATTGGGATTAGGGCGGGAAAACTGAAGTACAGTTTTGATTAATAATTTTTTTAAAGAACCCATATTATTTATATACATTAAGTAACAGTCAAAACGTCCTTATGAATGGGTTGTTCAAACTAGAAGCTAGGGAAATAGAACGAGAACATTGGAACAAAGTCAACCACAGAATGGGAAATTAATAATTGAGATTACACGAATTCGGCACCAAAGAGGCGATTCTGAGCTTACACGTGAACGGTCAACCTTGAGAGATTGGGACAGATGCTTAAAGCCGATGACGTGATTTCAAAGACTAATATGACTCACACATTTGCAAAATGGTTAA